ATATATGTATTATATATATATATATATATATATATATATATATATATATATATATATATGTATATGTATATTATTTTTATTTCATAATCTAAGCAAGTGTAATTATTATTATTTTTTATTTCGTAATCTAAACAAGTGTAATATACTACTCACATCCGTTGCTCTACTCTCAAATTTTGCACGTCCAATCTTAAATTCATTAATCCAAGAGTAATTATGAAACTTACGAACCGTAAGTGACTTAATGGAGTTTCGCACGCTGGCCTCCGTTAGATTATAGTATATATAAGAAGATGATTGGGTTAGTTTATGTAGTGGGGGAAAAAACTATTTAATTTGTAGCTCAACATGTGGATTGGCAACTTTTACCTAGCTGTTTTTTTATATATAAAAATAAGGTCACACCACGTGGACCAAATTAGCTAAAATAGTTTGATTTGTAATTAGAAAAATGTTTTAAAATAATAACCATATTTATACCTACAAAAATATAATTGAATCAACAACAATAGAATAAATTTATCTCTAAAAGGGTGTTTCTTACAATGTTTTGATAACTCAATAAATTGTTCATCAAATGCATTAAAAAAAAGGATATGTCATGTTCATAATTGATTTTGAAAAAGTTTAGGATAAAGTGGATTGAAACTTTTTAAAAATCATTCTTTGAGAATTTGGATTCCCTCCAACTATTATTACCTTTATCATGAATTACACAAGTTCCACTACTATATCTTTAAAATGGAATAGGGAGAAGTTGGATAGTTTTAAGGCTAAGGGAGATCTTAGACAAAAAGATATGATGTCACCTTACTTGTTTGTTTTCTGTATGGAAAAATTATCTTTACTTATTCAATAGAAGGTTTAAGAGAGGACTTGGTTGGCTGTTAAAATTACCCCCAATGCTCCTAATATTTCTCATCTATTTTTTTGCAGATGATTAACTTGTTAAGGAAGCTCTTGATGTGTTTCACCTAGCCTTTGGATTGAAAGTTAATATTCAAAAGTCCAAAATTATGACTTCCAGGAATATTTCTAATGTGAAGGTGGACAAATATGTGACCATAGCTCAATTTCAACATACTCGCCAAATTGGGAAATATTTGGATTTCACTATGTTGTTCGGTAAGGTCCAAAATAGTGATTTCAACTATATTCTTGAAACCATTAATTCAAGATTAGCATATTGGGGAGCTTTTAAATAGGAATGGTAGAGTGACTTTGGTAAAGTCAGGCTTGACTTCTTTACCTATTTACACGAAGCATAACTTGCGGATACCTAAGGGTGTATATGACAAGATTGATGATACTATCTATAAATTCATTTGGAAGAATAATTATTGTCATTGTTGGACTGAAATACTATAACTCTACCCAAAGCTAATGAAGGGTTGGGCATCCATCCAACTAGGGACGTCAACATTTCTCTTTTGGGATAACATGCTTGAGATATGTTGCATGGGAAACATAAGTTGTGTGGCTAAATACTTGAGGGAGGAGGCTATCCTTCATGCGCCAGTCATCTTCTTCGTGACTGTGCTCATTCAATTCATGTTTGGTAGCACTTGAAGTTGGATAGACATTCAAAGTTTTATATGACACATGTTTATAATTGATTGGTCAATAATCTCATAGGACCAAATGGTGTTCTTTTGGCAACAACTATCTGGATCCTATGGAAAGTTAGGAATGCATCTATATTCCGAGATCAATCTTGGGACCTTTGGCATATTGTTGGTCGACAAATTCAAGTTCTTTTGGCAAGTATTAAGAAGGCATTTAATCATTAGGATCATCAACAATAATATCGTCAAATCATATGGAAAACACCTACATCTTCTACAATCAAAATTAATTAACATTGATGGCAGTTCATTTGGTAACTCAAAAGTGGGTTTTTGAGGTTTATTTCATGACCATATGGGCCATTGGATTACTAGTTTCTTTGGCTCATGTGAAAATTCAACTATAGTATCAAGAGTGAATAGTTTGTTCTCTTTCATGCTCTTGACAAAGCTTGAAAGGAAGGTTATTGTGTTATTTTGTGTGAAATGGATTCTACCATGATGTTGAAGTTAGTTCACAACAATAAAAATCACTTTCATCCTTACTTTTCTTTAGTTAATGTAATTAAAAAAATTGTTACGCGTCACCTAGTAATACATATTTTGTAAAGCTAATTAATGTGTTGATCGACTTGTAAAATATGATGTCAATCATGATGTTCTTTTTCATCATTAAAATTGTTGTTCACATAACTAAATTCTTTAAAGTTACACTTGGAATTGTAACTTTTGTTTCTTGCTTACCTTTTATAATATTCCACTAGTCAGCCAAGAGAAGATGCAATCTTAATACATGACTACACGTCAGTTGCATCTCTTTATTGCTTTTTTTTTTTCTTCAAACGCCAGCTCTTTATTGGTTGCAATATGACCATGTTATTATATTTAGGCGAACACATTTTTTTTAATTAATACAATGCTTTTCTTTTAATTAAATTTTTGAAAGTTAAAATATATTTATTAAATAAGATGTGATATTTAATTATGAAATTTTAGAATTAAAAAACCTAATTAAAAAATATTTGAAAAATCTATAATAAATTGTGTTATTTACACTTCAATATTTATTTGTATTAATTTTTCCGTTTGTGATCTAAACATTCATTCACTTGTTAAACTAACAATCCATGATTACTGTAACAAAGTAAATGAACAGATAGAATAAATCAACACCAATTTAAGATGAAGACCCGATCGATACATAATAGTAAAAGGTATTATATGTATTAAGATTTTGCCCAGACGCATTAATGGAAATTTAAAATCTAATGAAACTTTATTGTGAACAAGATTTTGAATAAGGACAGAATGAATTTGACATTGTTATTAGTATAGAAGAATAACTATTCTAATAAATCATTATAGTTATTAACATCTTACTTTAAATATTAGTTTAAGACTATTCATTTATTTTAAGTGATAATTTCAAATCTTTGATTCAAAATTACTTAAGTTTTTAATAAAAACTAATTAATAAATTATTTGAAAGTAATATAAGTTGAAAATTTTGTTATATATAGGTAAAGATCATGCAAGTTAAATGGGGCACAATAGTTTAAATAACTCCAAAGGAAGTCAACTAATCTATATTTTACGTACTTGAACTATATTTTAGCCCGTTGGAACTCAATCTACAATGGGTCAACTTAAGATTAAAATATCTCTTTCATATTTTTTTATGAAAATCCTTGATATAAACATGATTGATGTATTATAATACGTAACGAAGGTGAGAACAGTGTTTATTTATTTATTATTGTATAGGAAAAAAGAAAACTCATTAATATCAAAAGAGTTGGATATAGGCCAAAATAAATAGAATCATGAAAATGACTATTGTTTTAAGTTGATGAATTTGGGGAATCAAACTGTTAGATTTTCTAATATATAAATATCACTTTCAAATTTTTATTAGATTCTATAACTGAACAATGGAACTAAAATAAAATTTTACACCATAATTCTTTGAATAACTTAGACGCAAAAAAGATGATCCTTTAACCTAATTAAAATATAAAAATAAATAAAATTCTAAACTATAAGTGTGTGTTTAGTTTTTCATTATAAACTCACAAAATTACATTAAACAAAAAAGAAAAAAAATATTATATCTTAATTTAGTGTTCCAGAATGTATATTTTTTTGGTTCAACAAAACTTAATAATAAAATAAACATTCTTTAGGTCTAATTCTAAACATTAAAACTTAAAATATAAAGAGAGTAAAGTCACAAAAACAAGTTTCAAAAGAACAAGAACTTATTATACACAAACAACAACAATGATATTTTAGTTAATCATATTATTGATATGAAGTACTTATATATATTTTTCAATAACTAATTTATATTAAAAACTTAGTCACCTTTAATATTCAATATTTTTCAATTACATTTTTGAAATTTTAAGTAACTTCAGTTCTATTCAGACGATTAATGACTCACCGATACTCAACCATGGTATAAATGTTTTTTAAACATAAAATTGAACAAGAAAAATGTTCTCTCTTTAATTTTAGGATATATTTTTGAAATGTTTGCGTTTATGAAAAAAGTAAATAAAGGATTAAACAATAGTCAACAATTTACATAGTCTGTCAAATGATGCAACTTCTCTAAAAAGCTAAACTTATGTCAACTGGGACTTCTGTGAATTCTCATCTATGTACATCAATCTCAGCTTCTGTGAAGCTAGGTACTGGTAGATGATGGTGTTAAGACTCTGTCTCAGGGTTAATACGTCAAATGTTTCTATGAACCTTAAATCTGTTGTCCTGGATTTAGCACCAGCAAATTTCTTGTACTCCTCAGACACTGAAGCTAAACACCAATTCTGCAACTTTCTCAGGCAACCAACAACGCAACCAGTTCGATGCTGCATAAAACAAGACAACATCTTATCTTTGAATTCATTTATAATAAAAATTAAAACCAATCAACAATAACACATAGTTTTTGGTTTTTCTATAGTCAGAGAAAGATTAATCTCGAGTTACGAAAATTATAAGAGGATGTCATAACTCATACCCTATTATACAGATCTATGATCGAAATCATATGTTTAAAAAATATAACTATCTGTTCTGTCAAGTATACTACAATATATAAGAAATAATTTTTTTAAGTCATTGATATATATATACCTTTCCTTGGTTACAGTGGATTAAAACCGGGTGATTTGTCACATCTAAAACCACAAAAATGATGCAAGTTAGAAATATATAACAAAAAACATATATAAAATAATTACTTGAATTAAACATTATAATAATTAAGTACCAATTAAAACCTTGACAGCCTTCAAAATAGTATCCCTCACAGTGGAGACAGTAAGATCCTTAAAGAAAACCAAACAATAAGATTAATAGTCATTATCATGAAACCAAGTTTACCAGACAACCATATGTATATTATGATATATTAATAGAAAGAACGGTGCTATACTTATTATTTCTATGTATTAAAATAGATGTAGAAAAAAAATTAAAATTTAAAAATACATAATCATATTGAGTAAATTATGTGATCAAAAGTAAAAATAAGAAGAAAAACAAAGTTACTAAAACATATTTTTTTTATAATAGGTATAAAAAAAAAAATAGAGGTTAATTACCGTCTTGCCTTGAATACCAAAGTGAAAGAGCCGAATATTTTGTGATTCAAGAAACTCTAAATTATGTTGCGGATAGGGTTCGGGGCACAAGTATCTGCACACCGATATGATAACTCCATGGTTAATTTTTCACATAAAGGAAATTAAAGGAACAAAAAAACGTAAATTAACAAATGAATCATTGAATTTACACGATGGATCGAAGATTCAGGGTTTCAAGAAAAGAGAAATTGGAAGATCGAGGGAAACTAGAGCGATATATTCCGTCCTCAACCATTGAAAAGTTGCTTGGAATAACCACAACTTCATCTTCATCCTCCACCACCACTTCCACTTCAACCATCGTTAACTATTGTTGTTCTTCAAACCTTGGATAATAACTATAGAGAGGGTTATGATTCACCATATATATAGATATAATTGAGAATGAAAAAATTGCCGCCCAATTTATCTTAACCTAGCTTATAAACTATAGATTCAAAATTTACGGTTATCATTTTTAATCTTTAATTAACTAATTAATTACACTGAATCAGGAAAAATATATATAGTTAAAGCCTTATCACGTAGATTGTCATTGTGGATCAAATCATGTTGGAACTTGGAAAGTTGGAACATGATAATAATTATGGCGGCTTACACTGCAACAAAATTCATTTTTACCGACAATTATTTACCGGCAATAAATTAATTGCCTTTGTTTTATTATTTAATAAAAGTATTAGTGGCTAATATATAATGGTCACTAAAAATATATTTATATCACACCAAAATTTATTATTAGCGACAATTATTTTAAGAAAAATTTTAGTCCCACATCGACTAGAAATAAGATAACTAAAGAGTATATAAATAAATAATAACTCTCACCTTACAAGTTTGTTATATAGGATTGTGTTAGACCTATAACTTATTATTCTAAATTAGTATA